CAGATTTGAGGAGTGATTTACTTTTATTTTCCTATTGCTAAACAGCTGTTTGAGAAGTATGTGCACCCCCACTAAACATTCTGTGCGTGGTCAGAGACGACGATTCTTTTCCCTCCTGGCTGAGAATTGCCTCAATTCTCTGAAAGGGAAGTTTGAAGACGTACTTAGATCACGGAGTGGGAAGTTTAGAGAAGTCTGTAAAAATGAGAAGGAGCCCGAACCTGTGTGGTTTAGTTGGTTGGACATTGTCCTGCAAAGTGAAAACCTATGGGTTCGATTCCCGGTCAGGGCCCATGACTGGGTTGCAGGCCTGGCCCCCAGCTGGGGTGCGTGCAAGAGGCAAATCTCCTCTCTTTCTCCCTCCCCTCCCCTCTCTGAAAATAAATAAATAAAATCTTCAAGAAAAAAAAAAAAAAGGAATGCGGAAGAACCTCCGACTGGCACCAGAGGCCCATTATCAAAAAGCACAGGGGAGGAAGAAAATTACTTTCAGGCACAAGTGATCAAACATCACGTCCAGATTCCTGATCCTCACAGCTGGGCGTACAGTTTACTAAGTCCTCCCTTAATGTCACCGATCGGCTCTGCCACTTAAAAGCAAAATGACGCAGAAGCCGATTTTGCCACAGGCTGACTGACACACACAAGACTTCAGCTCCTGCAGCGTCTCACCGACACTATCAGTCAAGTTCCGAAGTCTGTGAGCAGGACCCAATCAAGGACAGATGGAAAGTACCCTGGAAAATCCCTGGGGAAGCGCCAGGTGCCCGGAGCAGGGGACCCCTGGACAGCTGGTCCCCGCCCGCTGTGCAGCAGGATGCTGCCGATGCGCAGCCAGACCTGGGGCTGCCTGGGGGGTTCGTGTTGGAGGGAAAACGTGGACCTTCATGTTTTTCTCTTCATCCTTGCCAAGGATATGTTTTTGGATTTTAGAGAGAGGGGAGGGAGGGAGAGAGGTAGTGGTGGGGGATATCAGTTGTCTCCTGTACGCGCCCCGATCAGGGATTGAACCTGCAACCTTTTGGTGTATGGGATGACGCCCCAGCCAACCGAGCTACCTGGCCAGGGCAGCACAGATCTTTAAATATCAGAATCCCATCGAAGAAGAGGCACGTGGGAACTAAATCCGACCGAGGGGAAGATGAGTCTCCCTGCTCCTGTGATCACAAGGCGTGGGAATTCTCGCTGCATGGGAACCGCCTGCACTGTAAGTCTTATGTGCATGGATGATGCAACTTCACGAGGGATTGCACTGGGCTGACCGCAGGCAAGGGGAACATGCTACCCTGCCGCCTCTCTCGTTTCATGCACCCACCCATTTGCCACCATTTCTCCCATCTGGTCAACATCCTCTTTTACTTCTTTAAAAATTTTTAAAAATTCTCATCTGAAAATGTTTATTGATTTTGAGAGAGGGAAGGAGGGAAGGAGGGAGAGGGGGAGAGGGGGAGAGAGACCTTGATGTGAGAAACATCCATCGGCTACCTCCCCTGTACACCCTGACTGGGGATTGAACCCTCAACTTAGGCATGTGCCCTGACCAGGAATCGAACCTGTGACCTTTTTTGGTGTACAGACGATGCTCCAACCAATAGAGATACCCAGCCAGGGCATCCTCCTTTATTTGTTTGTTAACTGACTTTTAGAATGAAGTTTAACTTCAGAGGCGTTTAGCCTGGAGTCTGGAACTCCAGAATTTCATCACTCATTGGCAGGCACATCGGTACATACAGAGGTCCCAGCAGAGTATCCAGGTTTCATTTTCTTTTCAAAGGGCTGTGAGAGACCAAAGGGCTCTCAGGACCATTATCTTAAGTGGTGACCTCATAAACTGTAACGTTAAGGGGAAACTGCTTCATCTATTTAGCCAAGACTACAACTTCAAACACAGAACTGAAGGTACAGTCTGTGAGGCCCTCTCTTCTCTCCTCTAACAAAGCGCTGGGAGAACAAAGACCAACACGGCACACTCCCTAGCCGGTCACAGCACACCTTAGAGGGAAAGCGACAAGGCTCCTCACAACTAACTCTCAATTCTCTTTTCAAAGACGAACCTTGTGCTCATTTGAAAGGTCCTGTTGTTCTGGAGGCGCATACCAGGCACTCAAAGAAACTGGGTGTGGTTTTGGGATGAAAAGAATAATTACAGAACGTTCCACGGAAAACGCGGGGTCATAATTCAGCACTCCGCTCAGCTCAGAACACACGGGTCCTGCCAGGGTCCTGCCGGGGTCCTGCCATTTGGGGTGAGGGTGGCCTCAAGACAGCCAATTCCGGAGCCGCTGGGAACGGCTGGGGAGGGCACCCAGGAGTTTCCGGATGCCTGGAGAACCAGGGGTGGGACACCCTCCTTCACCTCCTGGATGCAGGGCATGGGCGACAAGGCCCTTGGACTCTCCAGTTCCCAGAGGACAAGAAGATAGCTTCTTTAGAGCAAGGAGTTCTAACGCCTCTACCCTTGGCACGAATTATGTTCACTTTCTCTTTTGTAAACTCCGAAGAGGAAAGGTTATTTTTCTCTCCAAATAATGAAATGAACATTACCTTAAAAGGCAAAGAAGACATCAACCTCTACGAAGTCAGACGTAAGGTATTTTTGAGTATCACAGTGAGAATGCTAATAATATGTTCGGATGTTGGCTCTTTACGGGGGTGTCGTCGGTGAAGAGTATCACAGCCAACACGAAGGGGCTAAAACTCAAGTCACGACTCCAGACAGACAGCTGCTCACCCGGCATCTCCATCCCTGGGGAAGCTGGGAATCAACCTGAACTTTCCGGGTCAATGGGATGAAATAAAATGCCCAACATTCTGATTCTACCACAGCCTCTTGCTCTTTAAGCCAAGGTTTCCAGCACTTCGGTAAAAGGCTGGTAAAAACAGGACCAAGCTGAGCCTAACGGAAGACAGCGGTACATACCTGGGTTGCGGGAAGCACTGCACGGGCGGCCACCGGAGCAGCTGAGGCTGCTCTCGGCTGCAGCGCTCTTCTTTTATAGTGTTTCCTCTCTTTCTTTCAGTTTCCTTTTGAAAAGAGCCTTTTTTTTTACACCCCACCCTTCGACTGTTTGCAGGAGGGGTTTCTTATAAATCACCCTGCTTCTCACCAACACTTGACTCCTGACCAACTTCCTCGATGAGACTGCCCAATCAGGGATGGGTGGTGTGCGCGTTAGGGGCGAGGGGGCGGGTGGAGACCAGTGAAACCTTCTTGAGAGTCCAGCCCTTCACTGCATTGCACGGCGAGTCCAATCATTGCATCAGCCACCGTATTCCCTACGTTGGCCTCGGGCTAACCTTTCCGCCCTCTTCCCGTTCCCCACCCAAAGACACCCTGGAATGTCCCTGCGACTGTCGTGCACTGAGGCGGCGCAGTGCAGTAGGAAGATCAGGAAATCTGGAGTCACACGGACCTGGGTTTTAAAGCCAGCTTTGACACTTTCTGATTTCAAGACCTTGAGCAAGTCAGATTACCTCTCTGCTTCATCCTCGGTTTCCTCTCCCGTGAAACGGGCATAAAGGGGCCTCCCAGCTTTACCGTGGAGGGGGCTGAGTGCGATACTATAGGCAAAGACCCTGGCTTTGAGAAAAGGGAGGGGGTGGGAGAGATAAGGGTCGGTGCCGGCCGGCGTGGGCGACAGGCCAGATGGGGGCGCACGGAGAAGGGCGCGAGGGGCGTGGTGGTGCCAGAACCGGCAGGCAGCGAGCCGGGCTCTCAGGAAGACACTGCGGACCCTAGGGTGCAGGCGGCTCCAGGAGGTCCAGGTCTTCAGGCGCCGCCCCGGCCTCCCCCCGTCATTCCCTCACTTACCAGCCCATGCGGGGCCGTCAGCACTCGGCAGCACTGGTTCAGCCTCCTGGGCGTCCGTGGAAACGCCGTCCGGCTGGAACGACTTCCGGAAGCGAATGCGCCTCACTGGCTGTTTGCGCGGGGGGAGGGGGACGGAGACTACCGCTGATTGGTCGGCGGGCCTTGGGTAAGCGGAACGAGCTGGGAGGCGGAGTGCAGGCGGGTGGGGCTCCAGGAAGATCAGCCCTTCCGGTGCGTGCGGTGAGCGGCGGGCCTGGGGCGGGAGGTTGCTGGTACCCGGCGGTGGCCAGAGTGCCCCGCGCCCTTCAACTTGGACCTTTCCCCGCCGCTGTCCAGTCCTTCCTGTCCGGTTCTTCCCCGAACGTGCCGTGTTCTAGGCCATCCTCACCGCTCGCTATCGGCCGCTCGGCTACCTCCTATTCATCCTTCAAACACCGCCTCTGGTCGTATCTTGTTTGTTGCCTTCATTAGTGTGTGGCCTCCGGCAAGGGTCCGTGTTTTGTGTTGAACCTCTGCCCACACCAGACCCAGAATAAGGATTGGCACAGAGGGGGCGATCAGGAAACTGAATGAGAATATCCGATTTTTTTTTTTACTTTCTCTTGCTCCCCCTCCCACCATCGGGGTGCTGGGGATCAAACAGTGAACAAAACACGAGAAAGGTCCTGCCCTCGAGCCGCTGACACACCAGTGAAGGTCATTGCCGCTCCCTCCTTCCATAGTCTCATTTCTCCCATGACCTTTCCTTTGCTCCTGGCTGTACCTCTTCCTCTTAGTTTAATCACCCCGTCTTTCCATGAAACATTTCCCATTTTCCCTTCTGCCGTAGAAACATAAAAGGCAGCAAATACTTTCCCCCTAAAATTTGTCTTTGTCCCAATGGCTCCCAGTCTTCTCCATTTTTGCCTGTTTTCTTTGTCACCTTTGCCTCTTTCTCTCTGACCTCATTTGGTCAGATTTGTTGCTCCTCATCATCTGCTCCCTCACCTCCCCTGAACATCACTCAGATGCCACCTGTTCTAGGCCTGCCCTGGCCTCCCTATAGGAAACTGTGACCCCAAGCCCGCTGCCCCCGTATTCACCTTCCCACTTCACTTCCCTCCTTAGGATTTCCCACCACCTGACATCCCCCATTTCACGTGACTGTGGTCAGTTTCTCCCTATCGGCGTGTGAGCGAGCATGGGGAGCGCCAGGCCTGGTTTACTCTCGCTCGCTCGCTGTGCTGTCCCCGGGGTTTAGTGTGGGTCTCGGCGAGTAGCCCATCCCCCGGGGTTTGCCCAAGGGGTGAATGGAAAGAACGTGAAGCGGACAGTATCGGGGTCCCTGTGCTGTTGTCCGCCTTCCTGCGCCCACGCCATCCTGCCGCCTTGCCTCGGCAGGAAGTGGGGCCAGCGGGCCCCAACCCTGCTGCGCTCTGGTGTTGTGCTGTAGACCTCGCCTTTAATTCTAGTCGTGGGCTCCTGTGAGCTGACCACTGTGGACGACTGGGTGGGAGGGCATCCGAATGGCTGAGCGCTGGTGCCCTGGTGGTGGGAAGGAGGGAACCCGGTGGGTTGCCCTTGACAGGAAGGGACGCGATGGTGTGCCCAGGAGTTGAGATGTCTGACCAGGATGGCATTTAGAGAACAGAAATGCCAAATCATCCACAGGGCTCAGTTCCATGAGCTTATGGTTAGTCCATTATGTTATATTTCTATTTGAGATGGGCCGGCTCATTGTAGAAGTTTTCCTTAGATGAAGGCTTTGTGTGTGGATTAGGCTGCAGATAGAAGTAGGATTTTGGGAGGAGGCAGAAGACCTAGTTTGTTTAGGGGGAATGGCACCCTTTGGGGGAAAGGTGTGGAAGGGGTGGGGTGTTCGATTCCAGGGGATGTGAAACCCGCTTTCTAAGGGGAGACAGGCTGTCTGAAGCGGCTTGGCGGATGACCCAGAAGGACGCTCCTGGCGCCAGCCTTAATGCACCTGCATGGTTTATTAAGCTGCACACCTGGCTTTCTGCAAAGTTGGTCCTTGCTGGAGCTGTCCGCGCTGCTCCACCGCGCCCTCTGCTGTCCAGGATGGGACGTGTCCCTCATCCTTGTTTTCCTTTTCAGGGTACTTCCTGTCAACAGCACAGAACTGAACTCCAGATGGAATCTTTCTTCCTAGAAACTAGTTGGCAACAGTTTTATCATGTGTGCTGGTTCAGAATTCCAAGAGGGATTGTTTAGGAAGGGGCCATTCCACGCTGTGGGAGTCTGTGTGGTGGCGTGAAGCGGGCGGTTGTGGGTGACACACTCGGGCAGCTTCGCCCTGGGGTGTGGGTCTGCCCCTCCGACTGGCTGAGAGTGGAGGTGAGGAATGTGGGCGGGGGGAGTGCTTGGGGCAGAGAGAACATAAGGACTAGAGCACCAGGAGAGGGCAGAGCCGAGGGCGGCACGCTTTCCCCACCGGGGCAGCTTCACGACGTCTTTCCATTTCAGTGTTTTCAGACCCGACCTTGCCCCGCCGACGAGGGAAAGGCCAGCGAGCCCGCTGCGGCTGTCTCCGTGCGCCTGTCTCTGCGCACGCGCACATGTGTTGGTGCTTGCGTAGTGGGGGTGTCACAGTGCAAACTATATGTGTTTAAATTTTGTACTTGCCTTTCCAAAGGCGTCTTTATTTTTATTATTTCTCTTTTATTTTTTATTCTGATGAAGATGTAGTTGACATACAACATTGCTAACTGTACGGGATAGGTGTGTTGATTTGATACGTTGTTATGTTGCACTACGACCACCACCATGGCGTTGACAAATGTCTCTGTCACGTCACATAACGACCGTGTCTTTTTTGGGGTGAAAAGCGTCAGCATCTGGGTCAGCTGGCTGGCACTTCCTGGTCCCTCCTTTTTTTTTCTTTTTTTATTGACGGTGTTGGGGCGACATTGGTTAATACCGTTACATAGGTTTTGGGTGTACAGTTCTGTAATGCATCGTCCGTCTGGTTATTGCACCACAAGGCGTCTTTCCATTCCTGAGTCTTTCTGTCTAGGCACCGTGTCCGTGGTTAGTCAGGCTCTGTTTTATATCTTTTTTAAAAAAGATTTTATTTATTTATTTTTAGAGAGGGAAGCGGGGGAGAAAGAGAGAGAGAGAGAAACATCAATGTGCGGTTGCTGGGGGCCGTGGCCTGCAACCCAGGCATGTGCCCTGACTGGGAATCGAACCTGTGACACTTTGGTTCGTAGCTCGCCCTCAATCCACTGAGCTACGCCAGCCAGGTTTGTTTTATATCTTTCAATAAAGCTTTAGTTTTCCTCGTGTAGGTCTTATTTTTTTTGTGGGTGTTAAATGTATTCACCGTTTTCATTTTAAAGAGGACGTCCTCTAACTCCTCACGCCTGGCGTATGGAAGAGCCCTCATATTTTATGTGTTCGTTCGGATGGGTTTTTCCGTCTCGGACTTGCCAGACGGCACGTTTTCTCGTACCTCTGCGTGGCGGTCCGCAGGCCTCCGTGCACGAGTCCTGACACCTGGCTCTGTTTGGTCTTAGGTGGTTGGAGCCCGAAGGACAGCAAGAAACTGTTTTCAATGGCTTCGCTGGTGGCTTATGACGACTCGGACTCAGAGGCTGAGAGCGAGCCCGCGGGAAGCGTCATTGCCGCCGGCCAGGTGGAAGACACTCGCGATGCGGTCCACGCGCGTGACCAGGGTTCCGCACCGGGAGCCCTGGGCGGGATGGAAGGGGGCGTGCCGCCCACGAAGCACCGTTCTTCCGAAGACCCCGCTGGCCCTCGTCTCCCGCCGGCGCGGCTCTGGGGAAGCGGCCCAGGGTCTTGCCCCAGCCAGAGGCTGCAGTGGCCCGCGACAGAGCCTGAGGTCGCCGTCGCCACAGGCGAGCCTCCTCGTGCTTCCCTGTGGCTCAGTCACGTCCCTGCTGGCCACGTGCCCCTGGCAGCGGCCCTGGTTAAGCAGGGGAAGCCCTCCTGGGGAACTTACGACCCCCCGGAACCCCCTCTCTGTGCCCGAACCCAGCCTGGAGCCCCAGGCGCGCCAGGCAGCCCTGTTCAGAAGAAGAGGCGTGAGGACTGCGTTGTGCCCTATACCCCGAAGAGGCTGAGGCAGTTGCAAGCACTGAGCACGGAGACAGGCAAGAGCAAAGCTGCGGAAGCCAGGGGTCCCTCCGCGGGGCGCGCCCCGGCCCCGCTCTGCATGGAGCCCCGGGTGTCTGAGTTTATTCAGCCCCATTTGGACACTCAGTACAAAGAAACCCAGATTTCCAGGAAGGTGCTCTTTCACCTGCGAGGCCACCGGGGCCCCGTCAACAGCATCCAGTGGTGTCCGGTGCTTTCGAGGAGCCACATGTTTCTCTCCGCTTCCATGGATAAAACCTTCAAGGTAAGACAGGAGCGGGACCGTTCTTCTCGGATGCCCTCGGGACTGACCTGCCGGAAGTTGGATTCTTCGGAACAGTTGGGGGGGGGGGGTCACAGGCGGAACGTGTCTTCCTGGGAATGTCTGGCTGTGGTGCCCTGTTGTGTTCAGGGGAGGGCTCTCCGTGGGCCCCCGGCTCGCCGGTCCCTTCCGTCCCAGGCCTCACTGGCACTGCCTTGCCCAGGCTGCCAGAGGGCGCTAGTGAGTCCTTATCCCCTGTGGGGGCGCTGAGGTCATCCGGGCGCACTGCGGCCCACCCGGGTGAGGTCGCTGAGCGAGAGCCGCCAGCGGGAGAGGAGGGCAGCCCAGGGCCAAGCCCTGGGGCCCCGGGGCCTCCTCTGTGACTCCCACGGCGCGCCGAGCGGTGCCAGCCTGGTGCCAGGCGCGGTGCTGTGTGCAGGGCGCAGAAGTGAGCAAGCCTGGTCCCCGGGGGATCCCGGGCAGGCGCAGTGCGGTAGGGGGCGTGGCCACGTGGGAAGCACTCACCGTGCTGGGCTCAGGGTTGTGAGGATGGGACCCCAACCGGACACAGAAGCACCACGCGAGCCGCGTGGGAGGGACGGCGCGCCAGCCTGGGAGGGCTTGGTGCAGGCCTGCGGGAGGCAGAGGGGTGCGTGGTGAAGGGGGTGGGGAGCGGTGGTGGGGCATCCTTGGCTCTAAGCGTGGAGGCCTTCAGGGGCCTGGTGGGGCGAGCGGCCAGGCCAGAGGACTGTGGGCGCCCCGCTGGGGACTTTAGTTTGCACAGAAACTTGTTTTTTGCATTGTTATTTATTTATTCGTTTATTAAATTGTATTTATTTTCGGAGCAAGGGAAAGGGAGATAGAGAAACATCAGTCCGTTGCCTCTCACACGCCCCCTGCTGGAGACCTGGCCCGCAACCCAGGCAAGTGCCCTGACTGGGAATCAAAACGGAGACTTTTTTTTTTTTTTTTAGATTTTATTTATTTATTTTTAGAGAGGGAAGGGAGGGAGAAAGAGAGAGAGAGAGAGAGAAACATCAATGTGTGGTTGCTGGGGGCCATGGCCTGCAACCCAGGCATGTGCCCTGGCTGGGAATCGAACCTGCGACACTTTGGTTTGCAGCCCAAGCTCAATCCACTGAGCTACGCCACCCAGGCCTAAAACGGAGACTTTGTATTTTTATTTTATTTTTATTTTAATTTTTGTTCAAGTACAGTTTTCTGCCTTTTACTCCCATCCCAGCCCACCCCCCCAACCCTCCCCACCTTCCTTGCATTTCCACCCCACCCTCTAGTTTTTGTCCATGTGTCTTTATAGTTGTTCCTGTAAACCCTTCCCATTCTCCCCTGAAATTCCCTCCCCTCTCCCCTGTGGTCACTGTCAGCCTGTCCTCTATTTCAGTGTCTTTGGTTATATTTTGCTTATTTCTTTGTTTTGTTGTTTAGGTTCCACTTAAAGGTGAGATCACATGGTATTTGTCTTTCACTGCCTGGCTTATATTGCGTAGCATAATGCTTTCCAGCTCCATCCAAGCTGTTGCAAAGGGTAGGAGCTCCTTCTTTACTGATTTAATCTTCTGCTGCATAGAATTCCATTGTGTAAATGCACCATAGTTTTTTGATCCATTCATGTACTGATGGGCATCTAGGTTGCTTCCAGCACCTAGCTATTGTAAATTGTGCTGCTATGAATATTGGGGTGCAAAGGTTCTTTTGGATTGGTGTTTCAGGGTTCTTAGGATAGAGTCCCAGCAGTGGAATTGCTGGGTCAAAAGGCAGATCCATTTTTAGTTTTCCGAGAAAATTCCATACTGTTTTCCATAGTGGTTGTACCAGTCTGCAGTCCCACCAACAGTGCACTAGGGTCCCCTTTTCTCCACAACCTCTCCAACACTTGTTGTTTGTTGCTTTGTTTATGATGGCCATTCTGACCGGTGTGAAGTGGTATCTCATTGTGGTTTTAATCTGCATCTCTCTGATAGCTAGCGATATTGAACATCGTTTCATGTGTCTTTGGATTTTCTGTATGTCCTCCTTGGAGAGGTGTCTGTTCAAGCCCTTTGCCCATTTTTTAATTGGATTCCTGTCTTCTTAGAGTGGAGTCGTGTGAATTCTTTATATATTTTGGAGATTAAACCCTTGTCTGAGGTATCATTGGCAAATATGTTTTCCCATACAGTTGGTTCTCTTTTTATTTTAATGCTATTTTCTTTAGCCATGCAGAAGTTTTTCATTTTGATGAGATCCCATTTGTTTATTCTTTCCTTTTTGTCCCTTGCTCTAGGGGACATATCAGTGAAGATGTTGCTGCGTGAAATATCTGAGATTTTCCTGCCTATGTTACATGGCCAGCTCTCCCAACACCATTTGTTGAAGAGGCTATTTTTACTCCTTTTTATGTTGCTGCCCCCTTGTCAAACATTAATTGACTGTAGAGACTTGGGTTTATTTCTGGGCTCTCTGTTCTGTTTCATTGGTCCATGTGCCTATTTGTATGCCAGTACCAGGCTGTTTTGATTACAGTGGCTTTGTAGTATAGTTTAGTGTTGGGTATTGTGATCCCTCCTACTTTACTCTTCTTTCTCAAAATTGCAGCAGCTATTCAGGGTCGTTTTTGATTCCATGTAAATTTTTGAAGTGTTTGTTCTATGTCTGTGAAATATGCCATTGGTATTTCAATAGGTGTTGCATTGAATCTATAAATTGCTTTTCTTCCGATCCATGAGCACGGTACCTGCTTCCATTTGTTTGTGTCTTCCTTGCTTTCTTCAGTGTTGTGTGGTTTTCTGAGTACAGGTCTTTCACCTCCTTGGTTAGGTTTATTCCTGGGTATTTTATTTTTCTTTTTGCTGTATCAAATGGGATTTTTTTCTTGATTTCTGCTTCTGCTGTTTCATTGTTGGTGTACAGAAATACCTTTGATTTCTGGACATTGACTTTGTATCCCCTGTTTTGCCAAATTCATTTATTAGGTTGAGCAATTTTTTGGCAGAGTCTATAGGATTTTCTTTGTACACTATCGTGTCATCTGCAAACCATGACAGTTTTGTTTCCTCCTTTCCGATTTGGATGCCTTCTATTTCTTTTTCTTGTCTGATTGCTGTGGCTAGAACTTCCAGTACTATATTGAATAGAAGTGGTCAAAGTGGACATCCGTGTCTTATTCCTGATCTTAGTGGGAAAGATTTTAGTTTTTGCCCATTGAGTATGATGTTGGCTGTAGGTTTCTCATAAATGACCTTTATTATGTTGAGGAATGCTCCCTCTATTCCCACTTTGCCGAGTGTTTTTATCATGAATGGGTGCTGTACCTCATCAGATGCTTTTTCTGTATCTATTGATATGATCATGTGATTTTGTGTTTGATTTTGTTTATGTGATGTATTACATTTATTGATTTGCAAATATTGGACCATCCTTGCATCCCTGGGATGAATCCCACTTGGTCATGGTGTATGATCTTTTTTTTTTTTTTAAAGATTTTATTTATTTATTTTTAGGGAGGGAAGGAAGGGGGAGGGGGGGGAGAGAGAGAGAGAGAGAAACATCAATGTGCAGTTGCTGGGGGTCAAGGCCTGCAACCCAGGAATGTACCCTGGCTGGGAATCGAACCTGGGACACTTTGGTTCCCAGCCCGTGCTCAATCCACTGAGCTACGCCAGCCAGGGCTTGATTTTTTTAATGTATTGTTGGATGCGAATTGCCAATATTTCGTTGAGGCTTTTAGCGTCTTTGTTCATCAGCAATATTGGCCTGAAATTTTCTTTCTTTGTTGTGTCTTTATCTGGTTTTGGGATTAGGATGATGCTGGCTTCATAAAAAGAGTTTGGGAGTCTTCCATCATTTTGGATTTTTTGGAATAGTCTGTGAAGGATAGGGGTTAGCTCTTCCTTAAATGCTTCGTAGAATTCTGTGGAACCCCCGGTCCAGGGCTTTTGTGTGTCGGGAGTTTTTTGATTACAGCTTCAGTTTTGTCTGCTGTTATCGGTCTGTTCAGGCTTTCTGCTTCTTCTTCATTGAGTTTTGGAAGATTATATTCTTCTAGAAATTTGTCCATTTCACCTACGTTTTCAAATTTCTTGGCATATAGTTCTTTGTAGTAATTTCTTACACTCCTTTGTTTTTCTGTGGTGTCAGTTGTAATCTCTCCTCTTTCATTTCTGACTGTGTTTGTTTGGGTCCTCTCTCTCTTTTCCTTGATGAACCTACTTAAAGGCTTGTCGATTTTGTATATCTTTTCAAAGAACCAGCTCCTGGATCCACTGATCCTTAGAATTGTGCTTTTGGTCTCTATGTCATTTAATTCTGCCCCGATCTAGGTTATTTCCTTCCTTCTACTTGCTCTGGGCTGTCTTTGTTGTTGTTCCTCGAGTTCTTGCAGGCATAGGGTTAGGTTGTTTGTTTGAAATGTTTCTCTCTTATTTTGGTAGGCCTCTGTTGCTATGAACTTCCCTCTCAGGACTGCCTTTGCTGTGTCCCATAAATTTTGGGTTGTTTGTGAGTTCATTTTCATTTGTTTCCAGAAAGTTTTTGATTCCTTCCCTGATTTCATTCTTGACCCATTCACTGTTTCACAGCAAGCTCTTCAGTCTCCATGACTTGGAGTGCAAGACGGAGACTTTTTGGTTCACAGGCTGTCACTCAGTCCGCTGAGCCACACCGGCCAGGGCTCGTTGGTGCTGGCTTACTTTAACTTACACCGGAGTAACGCAGACCGGCCGGGAGCAAGCCCCAGCCCCGCAGGTGTGCAGTGTAGCAGGCGCGCCCCGCGTGCCTGTGACCCGCCTCCAGCCCCTCTGCGCCGCACTGAGTCCCCCTTGCTCTCCGTGGCACCTGGCCCCCCAGCACTGCACGGGCGTGCAGTGGGGGGCCCAGGGAACTTGGGCTGAACCCAAGGTTCCTGGAAGAAAATGGCTTGGGAGTTGGAGCTGGCGGTAGCTGCTCAGCTGCGTTGAGCTGTCCCCTCCGAGTCCGTGTCCCCTCTGAGAAGGGCAGAGTCACAG